ATACATTAAAAAAGACATTGATAGGGGCCGGAGTGATCTCACAGCTGGTAGGGCATTTGCCTTGCGAACGGCTGACCCAGGTTCGATCCCCGGCATCCCATATGGTCACCTGAGCACTGCCAGGAGTAATTCCTGAGTGCAAAGCCAGGAGTAATCCCTGAGCATTGCTGGGTATGACCCAAAAAAGGGAAAAAAAGACATTGATAGCAACACGATGATAGAAACTTCAACACCTCTGTTACCTCCAGATAGATCAACTAGACTAAAACTCAGTAAGAAAAACTATCTCTGAAGAAATAAATGGAAAAGGTTTTAGCAGATACGTATAGGGATTTTGCACACCCACCCCTCCCGCCAAAAAAAGCCAAATACATGTTCTTCTGTAATGCACATGGGACATTTTCCAAAATAAACCACATGCTAGGTCACAAAGTGTTTCTCTATAAAGCCAAGATACTAGAATTCATATAAACTATCTGGTCAAACCATGATACACTGAAAATGGAAGTTTATCACAAACAGCCATAAAGAAACTCAAACATATGGAAATTGAACCTCTCACTACTGAACAACCAGAGGGTCAAAAAGTAAATCAGAGAGGAAATAAAAAGGTTTCTGAAAACAAATGGGAATGAAAACATGAGTTACCAAAACTTACAGGACACAACAAAAGCAGTAGCAAGAAGAAATTTCATAGTCATGCAAGCATTCTTTGAAAGAAAAAAAGGGCCCACATAAATAACTTAACACACAGTTTAAGAAACTATAAAGGTGGGCCAAAGTGAAAGTACACCATGTAGGGCATTTGCCTTGCACACAGCCCAGTCACCCCGTATGGTCCCCCTAGCACCACCAGGAATAACCTGAGTGTAGCTGGGTGTGAAAACACCCCACATCCCCCCCTAAATAGAAAAGGACTAACAAAAAGACCCCAAAGCAGAAGGAAGGAAATAAAATTCAGAGCAGAAATTAACAAATGCAAATCCAAGAAAATACTCTGAAAGATTAATGAAACCAGGAGCTGGCTCTTTAAAAAAATTTTTTCTTATAAATCACTGACAAGATTCACAAAGAAATAGAGAAAACACTAATAAATCAAATTAGAAATGAAAAGGGAGACATCTCAACAGACATTACTGAAATTTGAAAGATCATTAGGGACTAATTTAAAAATCTATACCATGAAGTGAGAGAACCTAGAAGAAATGGATAAATTCTTGAACTCCTTAATCTCCCAAGACTGAACCAAGAAGATATGGAATACCTAAACAGCAATTACTATCAAGGAACTCAAAATGGTAATAAAGTTTCCTCAAAAACAAAAGCCAGGTCCAGATGGGTTCACTAGTGAGTTCTTGCAAAACTTAAGAAGAGCTACCGTCAGTGTTTTTCAGGCTCTTTCAGGAAACCAAAGAAAGAGAAACACCCTGAAACAGTTTCCATGAAGCAAACATTACCCTGATACTGAAAGCACACAGAGACAGCACAAAAAGGGAGAATTACAAAATGATATCCCTGATGTACATAGATGCAAAGATCCTCAATAGAATTCCAGCAAACTAAATCCAACTCATCAAAAAGATCATACACCATGACCAAATGTGATTCATTCCAGGGATACGAGGGTGGTGCAAGCCAACCTTTGTGGATTCACCATATCAATATAAAAAATATTAAAATTATATGGTCATATCAATAGATGCATAGAAAGCATCTGACAATATTCAGCACCCAGTCATTATAAAAACGCTCAACAACATGGTAGTTAAAGGAACTTTCCACAACAGTTAAAACCATGTATCACAAACCTTCAACAAATATTTTACTAAATGGGGAAGAACTGAAAGCCTTCCCTCTAAGATCAAGTACAAGATAAGGTTGCCCACTCTTGGAACTTCTATTCAATATAGTACTAGATGTACTTGCCATAGCAATTAGGTAAGAAAAAGATATCAGGGGATCCAGACAGGAAAAAAACAAAAGTCAAGTACTCACTTTATTGTGGATGACATGATACTATACTTAGAAATCCCTAGAGATGCTACCAAAAAAAAGTCCTAGAAATAATAGACTGGTATAGTAAAGTTGCACGCATCCAGCCTGGCCAAGCCGGGTTCGATTCCTCTGCCCCTCTCAGAGAGCCCGGCAAACTACTGAGAGTATCTCACCCGCACGGCAAAGCCTGGCAAGCTGCCCCTGATGTATTCAATACGCCAAACACAGTAACAAGTCTCAAAATGGAGACATTACTGGGCCCACTTGAGCAGATTGATGAACAACGGGAGGACTGACTGACTGATAGTAAAGTGGCAGACTGCGAAATCAACATTCAAAAGTGCATGGCTATTTTTCTATGCAAGTAATAAAACAGAAGAATTTTTAAAATCCCATTCATGATTGTGGCTCAGAAAGTCAAAGACCTCAAAATCAGTTTAACAAAAGAGGTGAAAGGACTATACAAAGAAAACTACAAAACACTACTAAAATAAATAAAAAAGGACACAAGGAAATGAAAACACATTCCCTGCTCATGGACTGGGAGGATTAACATCATCAAAATGGCAATATTCCCCAAAGCATTATAGAGATTCAATGTAGTCCCCATAAGGGTAATTATTACATCAAATAAAGAGATCAAACATTCCTGAAATTCATATGAAAAAAATCACACTCCCATTATGCCAAAATAGCCAAAACAATCCTCAGGAAAAAGAAGATGGGGTGGCATTGCTGTCCTCAACTTCAAACTGTACTATGAAGCAGTAATAATTAAAACATCATGATACTGGTTGAGTTTAGGCACACAGTGTTTCAACACCAGTACCTTCACTAGTCACCACTTCCCTCCACCAATATGGAGTTTCCCTTCCACCTCCCAATCTGCCTCTATGGTTAATGTGCTTTCTACTTAATTTCAGCATTTCATCTCCTTCAGAGTTGAAATGGACCCTTCATATGGACTAGAATTGAAAATCCAAAGACATTCCCTCAGATATGGCCAGCTAATCTTTGATAAAGAGCAAAAAAAAAATATGAAATGGAGCAAGGAAAGCCTCTTCAACAAATAGTGTTGGAAAAACTTGGTCACATGCAAAAAAAAAAAAGGAAAGAGAAAGAGATAAAGGGGAAAAAAGACAAGAACTCAGACCCCTTTCTAATTCCATACAAAAAAGTCTACTCAAACTGGATTAAATACCTAGATATCAGACATAAATTCATAAGATACATATGAAAACATAGGCAGAAGTCTACATAACATTGAAGTTAGAGGCATCATTAAGGATAGAATACCCTTGGTCAACCAAATGGAAGCAAATTTACAAATGGAACTACATTAAATTAAAAGCTTCTCTACCTCAAAGGAAATAATGATCAGAATACAAAGACATAACACAGACCAGAAGAAACTATTTGCCCACCATACATCAGATAAAGAGTTACTATACAAGATATATAAAGCACTTGTATAACTTTACAAGAAAATATATCAAATTCTATCCAAAAAATGGGAGAAGAGATGAAGAGAAACTTCCTCAAAAAAGAAAAACAAATGACCAAAAGGTAAATGAAAAAATGTTCTGCATCACTAATCATCAGAGAAATGCAAATCAAAACAATGTGATATGACTTCACTCCAGAAAGATATCTGGACACATCAAAAGGAATAGCAGCAGCTTGTGTGGGCAAAAGTGACCTGCATTCATTGCTGTGGGAATGTTGACTGGTACAACCTTTTTAAAAAACTATGGGAATTCCTCAAAATTACTGGAAATTCAGCTTCCATATGATCCAGCAATTCAACTCCTTGGGCCTCAAACAAAAATGTAGAAAACATCACTCCTACATTTATTGCTACACTATTCATAGTAGTCAAAACCTGGAACTACAATTGCCCAAGAACAAATGACTGGATAAAGAAACTAAAATACATATACACAATGGAATACTGAGTAGTTAGAGAAGGACAGATACAGAATGATCTCTACCAAATATTTGATATTAAAAAAAATAGCAGGGTAATAACAATTCCTTAAAGACAATGGAAATAGTGAACAAGATAAATGGTCTTTAGTAAACAGCTTGTCACGTGTCTGCGTGTAGGTAGTCAAGGAGATAGGTCAGGAGAGGGTACAACATGATATTGGTGGAGGGAAGTGGTGACTGTGAAGGAGATGAAATGCTGAAATTAAGTAGAAAGCACAATAACCATAGAGGCAGATTGAGAGGTGGAAGGGAAACTCCATAGTGGTGGAGGGAAGTGGTGACTAGTGAAGGTACTGGTGTTGAAACACTGTGTGCCTAAACTCAATCATGAAGAACTTGATAACTTTGATTCATTAAAAAAATAACTTTGCCAAATATCTATCAAAGTTTATCAAAAATAAAAACTATAGAAACACAACATGCTAGTATCAAGGGGTGGGGTGGGGGAAAGGCGTGCACATTGGTGGACTTACTTCCGGATGTGTGTTCAGGGATCATTCCTAGTAATGTTTAGGGGAAAAAATGGGGGTAGAGGGTGGAACCAAAGAAACTGACTCCTATAATATGGTAGCTACTGGAGTGAAAACGGAAGCAGGATAGAAGGATTGAGGGGTAATTTTGCTCGTGGGATGGTACTGAAACTTCAGTGCTTTGCGTGGTAAATTCAAAGAGAGGTTTAATGCTAAACCTTAAATTACACAATACTGAAGAAGAATGAGGATAAATTATTCATTTTTTAAATGGTGTTCTGTACCCTTGATAAGGAAACAAAGTGAAAAAAAAACTGTAGAGTAAATGAACTGTTGATATTGCTTAAAACATGAGAGTAAAAAGCTCAGAATCCATGTGGTGTAATATTAATATTTATGATTGTGATATGATGGATCCTTAAGTTTTTCTTTAAATAACCAAATCATAATGTTCTCTGGTAGAAGAAAAACATGAGTTGACATTTTAAAATGAAGCAGAAGCCTTAATTTAAAATCTCTTTCTCCAGTTCCTTCCTCCTCTGTGTCCTAGCTTTCTCCTCTAGATCTATCAGGCATTTCTCCTCCATCATTTTCTCTTTCATTCCTTTCTTTATTGCTTTCTCCTTTAGATTTATTAGGAATTTTACCTCCATCTTCCCCCCTTTTGTTCCTTTCTTTTTCTCCTCTAAAATGCAGAAGAGACACATATGAAAAGAAAACTATGACAGGAATAATCCATAATATTGTTAGGAAATCCAAATGTTTCTTCTTTCTTCCTAGATACAGAGGAGGTGGCCCACTATCAATGCTACCTCCATAACCTTTGACATTGCAGTGAGGAGGTGCCCATCCATAGTTACAGTGGCAATTCTCTTTATTATTACAGATACCATTCTTATGGCAGATTTCAGGAATGCAAGAATTCTTAAGGCTAATACAGCTCTGGTGGAGACATATCATTTTTGGACCACAGTCTGTGCCATCTTCCACTAACCCATTATCAGGTATCTTCATTCCTAAGTGATAATCAGTGCCCCAGCAAGTGGTACCATTTAAGTAAAACTGATGCACTGTAGTATGATCCATCATATTAGGAATTCTTTTCACATTTTCACATTGAAGCCTCCCACACAGGATGTTAGGGTCTGCACATCTCACATAGGTATTTCTAACAATACCACAGTGACCAAATCGATTTTTTTGGATGTTCACTTCTTGGAAGCATGCGTGAGATGCAGTCCTTGCATCTTTGCCAAAAAGCCTCTTGCACTGTATGTCATGGGTAGTACTACATCTGGACAGAAAGCAAAAGGAAGAGTTTCGACAGGGGAGTCCATTCTGCACAAATGCATCCTCGGGGCACTCAGGGGAGTTGCCATGACACCACTCTGGAAGGTCACATTCACTGACCTGTTGTCTACACAAAGTCCCTGAGGGTAAAAACTGGCAGTTTTTGCAACACATTCCATGACTACAGACAGCCCCAGGTTTCAGAGTGCAATTCAGCAGACAGCACTGATCATTTGCACACTGGTATATGGTTCCACAGTCACACTGTTCTCCTTCATCAACTATGAGGTTTCCACAGAAATGTATGCTAAAACTCTGTCTTTGAGCAGCATTAGTCAGACAAGTTCCAAACTTAAGAGCAGTGTTCCAATAACTCTCATAACTGCAGTTGCTAAATTTTTCTGTTGCATGAAGGGAGGGATACATTATGCAAAAGTCAGACTCACATACACATTCAATTTTATCATGCTGCATGCCCAAATTATGACCTATCTCATGGGTCACAGTAATTGAAAAAGCAGCCAGATTATCACTTGTAAAAGACTCAATTCCACTGTTAAAAGGAAAATTGCACACTGTCCCAACATAGGCAAGACCAAGAGTTAAGTCAAAAGATTTTTTTATGAAAACATGAGAAATATCATGTTCTCTTCTTGCACCAAATGCTATCAACTTCCACACAGCAAAGTATTTTAAAAAGCTGTCTATATCCCAGTCAGGCACGGGGTTTTGTACACTCCAGATTTCAAGTTCAGTCAAACTCACATCTACTCTTATAGACTGGTACAAGCTGTCCACTATATTGACAACATTAAATACTTCCTGCCCTACTAATGATACATTACTATACTGATAAAGGAAACGAAGATGATCCACAAACACCAACAACTCAATATATCTCCAGTGGGTCCACCAGGACTTATAATCAGTCTGCCTTGGTGTGAAATTAAATGACTCTTGAAACTTAAGTTGTTGAGCTATTTTGTCATCTGTTACCCCGCATCTCTTAGGTGGGAACTGTGTGTCATCACTGTCTATCTTATACAAGAGGTGCTCAAATGAGGCAGAAAACCTAACTGGCTTGATTTCATAGGCAAGATCATTTATCATCAGCATTCCACGAAAGCCTCCAGAACAGGTGCTGAGAGCAACCATGGACTGGGGGATCCCCTCCACATATCCATGGTAGTAGCAGTCATTAGGAACAAAAGGCTGATCCTCTTGGAGGGTTCTCTGGTCCGTGTAGGTGAACAGTTGGAAGTGTCTGGAAACCAGGTGTTTCTTGACCTTCAAGTGGATAATGTGTCTCTGACCTCCAAATCGCAGACTATAGGAGAGCAAGCCCATAACCTTGGCACCTCTGGCCCTGCTGGTCACCTTCAAGGGGATCACCAATTCTGGGGAAGAGAAGAGCTTGGAGGGCCTTGTCGGAGAGTGAACATAAACGCACAGACACACCCCAAACATAAGTAGCAGAACAAAGGCCCTGAGGGGCACTGTGGCCTCATTCATTGCCATGATGGAACTGGCGTTATGGCATCATCTTTTCAGAACCAGAGAAGATTGTGGTGCTGTTGGTCCAGCTCTTCTCACAAAGTAGCTCTAAGAGCTGGGCTGACCTGTGCGAATCAGTGTCATGGAAGCGTTGAATCATCAGAGAACTGCATGCTGAAAGTGGAAAAAAAAGTCAAAGATGACCTAGGTTGGGCTTGGTGGGCAACTGGTAATAGAAATGGTAGAAGGAGAGGAAAGAGTGAGATACAAGTTGGCTCAAGTAGAATGATGCTTTTAATCAGTAAAATGTCTGGGAATTTTTTTCTTATACATGACAGTGCAGTCCCATTATTTGCATTATTATTTTCTGAAGTTTAGGCCTTCTAAAATTTAAACATATCTCCAAATTAATTTAACTTTTGCTTTTAAATATTAAGTAGATTGCATTTTGATGCTCAACTGTCTGAATGAACATTAACTTGTGTTTGAGCAATACTGTCCATTATCCCATAGGAATGGGGCAAGTCCATTGGGACATTTTAAGGAATTGATTCACCAAGAACACCTATATTGTCTGGGATTTTCCGCAAACCAATAGATAACATGATTTCATAAAATCAAGATCGCTATATGAAATTTCTTAGGATATCATCTGATAGGATATCTATCTATCTATCTTTGATAGGATATCTATGGAGATGTATACTAATTGCCAGATGGCTTCTGTATGTCTATCTTCTATCTCTGACATTTACCACAGATTTCAGATTATTAGGATAGCAGTGGAATAAGTTGGAAGAGAATAAAGGGAATGCTGTGTAAAGAGGAAAATAACCCATCAAAAGCTATTGAGGTATATTGTATGGTCAACTGCATTAGCAGAAAAAAACATTGTTGCTGGGACTCTAAAATACGGCAGTGCCACCATAAAATCCTCCTAAATGAAAGGTCACATTATCATTAGGTGAACCGGTATCACTGAGCAAACCTGTCTTTTGTTTTCAGTCACACGTGGAGGAGCTCAGGGATCATTCCTGGTAGGGGTCGGCCCCTAGACTCAAACCCATGTGCTCTCTCTCCAGCCCACCCTGCCTTTCTACCATTACCAGCACTTCAAGCACTGGGAGCTCCTCTTTTATGTTCATTTAATTCTTCCATTTTCAGCAGTGATCTCAAATTCCTTAAACCCTCTCTCTTAAATCAGCCAGAGTCTTAGTATTTCTCAAACTTAGGTCATGAACTTTCAATGTCATGAAATTCATTTGGAGGGCCACAATTTAATGAAAGAGTGAACAGCAGAGAGTGCCATGGATTTGAGATCCAAGGTTTCTGATGTCCCTGTCCCCACAAATCTGTGGCATCATTCTGCTGATCTTACTATGTGCTGATTATTGATAAGTTTTTAACCTTAAATTATACTTTTTATTTGGTCTATAAAGCTGGAGCTGGTAAGCTGCACCTATATTTTTTTGATTGCTACTGGCTTTTTTTTTTATTGCTACTAGCTTCCTGAAGAGTGTTTTATGTAACATTATATTTTTGTGCTGGAGCCATAGCACAGCTGGTAGGGCATTTGCCTTGCATGTGGCTGACCCGGGTTCGATTCTTCCGTCCCTCTTAGAGAGCCTGGCAAGCTACCGAGAGTATCTCGCCCACACGACAAAGCCTGGCAAGCTACCTATGATGTATGAGATATGCCAAACACAGTAACAAGTCTCACAATGGAGACGTTGCTGAGCCCACTCGAGCCAACCGATGAACATCAGGAGGACAGTGCTACAGTACTATTTTTTTGTGGGCAGAAAAGGCCATAATTTTTCTTTCTATGGTGCTGAGGGGGGACCCTCGTAAGGCAAGGTTTCTGCAAGAGTATTATTTTTGCTTGGTGGGGACACACATCTGGTGGTGTTCATGGGCTCTTCCCAGCTCTAAATTTGAGGGTCATCCTAGGGTGCTTAGAAGGCCAAATGGTCCTGGAGAGCCAACCCCGAGCTCTAGCATGCAAAGTCAAGCCTGTGTTCAGCCTTTTGTTCTATATCCCCACCACCTTCTTGAAGAGTTTTACCAAGAAGGTCACTACAGGAAGAATCAAGGAAACGGAGAAGACAGGAGACTTGGTATCCATTTGCCTGATGTTACTTTCTGTGATTCCTAGCAACAGTTCCAACTCTGATGGGGAGCTGGTGATCACGTTCCAAAAATTATTTCAAGATTAAAAAAAGTATTAAAACCAGTTAGACCCCACAGTCTTCTCAGACGTCTGAGAACCAACAATACACAGTCATTCTCAAGGCAACCCATACCAGTCATCCAGTTTCCCTTTGTCAGTGTCCCAAAGGCATACCCCAAAGCACCTCGAGATAAGGCTAAAGCAATAACTTTCCCTTCAAATGTTGAGTCACCGTTCTGGAGACCTTCTAAGTCTCTAAGCAACCACCACCTGCTCAGTATTACCTTATGAAAAGTACAGCTACTAGCAACATTGAACATCTTTTCTGATTATTTATAATACCAGCAAAACCAGGGAAATGCCTTGACTTATACATTCAAGGACCACATGGATGTAGTCCATTATTTAAATTTCTAGGATATGGCCATCTCAACCCCTTTCCTTTATTTATATTTATAAATTATAATTTAGAATTATTTATAAATTTGTATGAAATACATTTATATATAAAATAAATTTTATATATTTATAAATTAAATTATAAATAAAAATAAATTTATATTTATTTCCTCAGTATTACTATTGGCTTTCCTTCTGACATTCATACCTCTGTATATCTTTCTTATTCTTCCTTCCCTATTTATCTCTTCAGTCCTCTAGCGCCTTTTCAAAGATTTCCCTATGTTAACCATTTTTGTCCATGCATTAGCTTTCAACAGATAAGAGTGTTGATACAGAGTGTTGCCAAGAGGGAAGAATGAGATTCTGGGTAGGTTGGGTGTGTCTGCAGCTTTCCCATCCTGCCAAACTCCAATGGAGAATGGGAATGTAGTGACATCACAATTCACTGAGTTACCACAAGATGAAGTTCCTTATCAAGCAAGTGTTTGAGGAATCTACAGGATTCAGGGATCTAAGGATTCACCCATCTGTTTGTGCCACAGGGCCAATCTCACTTTAAATCAAAGTTGAATTGTGGAATTATAGCATCACAGCATAAGTCAAATGCACAGATTTGCAGAGAGCATCATCACGAATCACGACCATCCTGTTATTCGTCGATTGCCTCGAGCAGGCCCCAGTAACGTCTCCTTCATCCTAGCCCTGAGATTTTTAAGAAAGTACCATATTCAAGGCTCTTTAGGAGAATGAGACCCATCATTGTTACTGGTATTTGGCATATTGGGTACGCCACGGGGAGTTTGCCAGACTCTGCCGTGTGGGCAGGTTACATTCGGTAGCCTGCCAGTTTGTCCAAGTAGGAATGAGATAACAAGATGTCATAATAAGATGTCGCGAGGCCGGGAGCTGGTTTTTATAGTCTCTGAGTCTTGGCCATTGATGGTATTACACGGCGCCAGGGGGCCAGTTGGTGGGTGTGACCCCCGCCTAAGAGAGAGGAAGCATCATAGAGAGGGAAAAACCTTGACACTTAAAAAAAGAATTAAATCCAGGAGTTCAGGAACTCTGATTTTGAGGAACTAGATTTGCCTGTGTATCTTTTACCATGAAAATTTTCCTGTGTGATTCGTCAAGATGGCTCAGTCCTTAGACCTTGCAATTACATCAGCAGGGAAGGAATGCTGCAAGTGGATCCTAGCCGCAAGAAACACCACTATCACTTTTACTGGCGCTACAAGCATATCAGAATATAGTTTAATATGATCCAGAGTTATGATGAATAAGTTCAAAGTCTGAAATGAGAAGACCAGAGTAACTTAGATCGCACTCATTTATTTTGTGGTGAAATAAAAGAAATAAACCACCATACTTGTAGCAGACAAGACTATCGATAGGTGACCCAACCCCAGGCTTGATCTCCTGCATATATGGGTGGTAAGGATGTTGGCCACCCTTACCACCAGTACCTTCAGGAGTGGTCCCTGAGTGCACAGCGAGGCACACCTCACCACTGCCTATGTAGCCCCCAAACGAAACTAAAATATTATTTACTTATAGAAGGAGATAGCACAATAAAGCAAACAGAAAAATCAGAAGGAGAAACAGAGAGTTTAATAGTGAACTGTAGGAATAAAACATACTTATCACAAAACTTTATCATACTTATCATAAACTTGGACATTTTCTTTTCTTTAGTGAAAAGAAAATAGAAAACATATAGGCAGAGTGGATCAAATTAAACTAGCTGACTCACAGAGATTGTGTTTTGGGGTGGAGGGGGAGCACATCCAGCGATGAAAAGGGGTTACTCCTGCCTCTATTCTCTGGAGTTAACTCTTGGTTATCCTCGGGGAACCTTATGAGATGTTGAAGACTCAGTATTGATTTCTGAAAATAGGTCAGGGTAACTGTAATTACACCTAGTTCAGTTGTAATTTCCTCACTAAAAACCCAGCGTAGTCAATCTGTTAGGTACGAGTTGTCATGAGATGAGGAGTTGAAAAAAAAAAACTTGAACAGTTAGATAGGAAAAAATAAACATGGCAAACATTAACAGAAATGAGTTTGATCTAACCACATTGAAAAGATGGTAAGGGGAGGAAATCAGAGACAATGAGAATTAATGTACAGGATAAAATGTTTAAAAGGGTGAAAAGAGACACTGCAGTATTTTGTATGCATCTAACTGGAAGACATCAAAATAATTGAAGACACTGCAGTTGACTTCATGTGCCTCCCATGTGTAAGGCCCTGAATTAAATCCCTGGCATCATTACAAATAAACCACAAAAGATAAAAATCTAGTGTTCTCTTCAAAAATATTTACTCACCTCTCTTAGAAACAGAATAAACTATATTTACCTGACGGGGAAAGCCACATCATGAAAGTGTTTTAGGCAACACTTAGGCAAGGCTTACCTATTGCATTCCAGATACATATCCCTGAAAGTATCCCAAGTACGGG